AGGAAAGAAGGAAAGAAGGAAAGGAAAGAAAAGAAAGGAAGGAAAGAAAGAAAGAAAGAAAGAAAGAAAGAAAGAAAGAAAGAAAGAAAGAAAGAAAGAAAGAAAGAAAGAAAGAAAGAAAAATATATTAAAAACCAGTAAAATTTTGTTTGTTTGACCAGTTTGCTCATTTGATATTAGGCTAAACACAGTAGATAAGGAGGCAACGTAGCACAGGCTTTGGGTTCAAATCTCAACTTTGCTACTTATTACTAAAGTGACCTGAAGAATACTAGTTTGCATCTCTGTGCCTTAATTTCATCATCTGTAAAACAGAAATAATCATAACTATGCTCACTTCGTAGGATCGTTACAAAGATTAAATGAGTTGACCTTTGTAAAATCTTAGGACAGTGCCTGGCACGTAGTAAGTGCTATGCAAGTGTTTTGACAAATAGTCAGAATTGGTATTGTTACTATGAGAAAGGAAAACTGGTTTTGTTATACTACGATATTGGTAGTATATTAGGAATTTGTATTGTTATACTACAATAAAGGAGATTGAATAAATATCAAACTTATTATTTTGAAATACTACTAAAATTATACCCATATCATCAATCATTCACTAAGTTTTATCAACAAGCAAATTTTATTCAGTGTCTTTGATCAAGGTCTGATGAACTAAAAAGGGAAACTTTAAAATAATGCTAGAATGTAAACACAAGTACAGATGTATAAAGGGTTGGGGTAAATAAATTTTCAGTGTTATTGACCAGGGAGGGTTCTACTTAGAATGTCCTTCCCCTTGTCCTCATGTCTTTTGTTTCTTCATTATCTCTCATATTGACCAAGTAATGTCAGACTCATTAAAAGGACTCAGTATATATTTGTTGAAGGCTTAAATTTATCACAGATTCACTAAGACATATAGCATTTTTGTTTTAGTCATATGATACAATTTCCAAATGTATGTTACGCACCTGCATATAGAAACAAATAAATGTGCGTACAGACCTATTTCTACCAGAGGAAAACAGAAAACATAATCCTATTTATTAGTGATATAAACTTGAAATGACCTACAATGTAGACTAGTACTATGTGTTTAGATAAAATTACTATTATCATCTAATAATAATTAGGCTTTGGGAAATACAAAAGATGTTCAAAGACAACAAAATTTGCTATTCATGGAGCAGAAGCTTGTTTGTACCCTTCATTTGAGTCCAGAAATGAATTCTGGCTAGTATTGAAAATTATTCCGAATTCTAATGATTGGCTTCTAAAGACCTCAAACACAAATAGACAATAATATAATATTTACAAAGGTGTACACAGTAAAATTTCATTAAAACCCTGTTAACTAGAAATTTGGGATAATTCAGATGATCTGAGCTTTTATTTTTGCTAAAAGACCCTCAAGCAATCTACTAAGGTAACAAGAAGAAAAAAATTGAAAAATCTGACCTCAAGCATTTTTAGAACTACATAAACAGCACTTTACATAGGAACAGTTAAATGATAATTGTAAATATCTGCCAACTATTTATTGAAACAAATCCAATGAAAGACTTTTCCTAGACAATTCTTTCAAAACATACTACATATTGCTACAACTAGCAGTGCAGCAAACATTCATCTATCTTGTAAAGTATTTGGTAAATCATAATTTATATTTATCTACTCAATAATTCTGAACTACTGAAGACTTATGGATATAATTAGATGGTATTACCACATACACGTGAGAAATCAAAATAACACATTTACTACATTTAACTAGAGAGTTACAGTCTACCTTATTGGCTCAAAACAAAACTGATAAAATAAAAACTAATAATTACAAAGTAAATTTAAAAACTTTAATATAGAGTACCTTGAAATAGTCTTTTCTAATCTGTTTACTCCGCCTCCTTTCTTCACTCTGCCAGATTATAGGGTGAGATTCTGGCCACGGTTGTTCATCTATTTGATCCTTCTGATTTTCTAAGGGCTGTAAGGAGACAATTTCTGTTAAACAAATAAAAGAGAACAAAATAAAGGATATAATAGTAATTTAATTTCTTCTTACCTGCCATGTGAGGGGTGATAATGGTGAATTAACTTCATCTGCTGAGACACTAAAAAATTAAAGACGCCTTAATACATTAAAATATTTAGAATAAATTCTTTAATATATATTATGAACATTATTATGTTTTCTTTAAAAAAAACCAAAATTGTAAATAATTTACCCATGTCTACACTTTGGCCTAATTACATAAAACTTAAAATCGACAGAAACATATTTAATTTTCTAATACCTCTTGCTCCACGGGAAACATCAAAATGGGTTTATTCTATGTATACTCTATGCATAGGTCTACTCTAAGGAATTCCCAGAGGCTAAAATAGTGAAATATCTAAAGACAGGATATTTATTATATTAAAATAATTAACAAAAACTAATAATTTCTTTTGTCTAAATGCCAAAGAGCTCAAGGGAGTAATTCTTTTTGCCTACAGAATTACTGATTATGGGCCTCAACCTGTTCTTATTAACAAAACAGGGGCTATGAAGGAAATTATTTTCATCTAATTTTTTGTTATTGTTGAGATAAGACAGGCTATGCATTCTGTTCTTAGATGGCAATTTTGATCATGGAGTTCCTTTGGAAAATTATATAAACAAAATGTCCCCTGAAGCTGCTATAACTTAACACTATTGTGGAACTTCTGTATAGCACAATAACAAAAAAAATAAAAATTAGAGATAAGGAATCCAATTTTTAAAATTTATAGAACACGATTATCCAAAAGAAAAAGACAAAAAAAATATATCATTACAAGAGGTAAGGTTACTAAAGAAAAACATGCAAAAGTTAATCACTTTCCTACATATCAAATATAATGAGTTAAAAGACATTAGGAAAAACGCTATTCATAAAAGGAAAGAAAAGTATAAAATACCTAGGAAGAAACTTAACTATGCTTATACAAGATGTACATAAAAAAACTATAAATGTCTAGTAAGAGATTTGAATAACCAAAAGGTTTTTGGATAGGTTAAACTATTATTACAGGTATAACTTCTCTTTCAACTTAATTAATCTTAATTAACTGAAATCAACTGTAATAATAATTTTTTTAAACTCACGAAGTATTTTTTGGTTTGTTTTAGAAATTTGACAAAGGAGTTTCAAAGTTAATTTGGAAGAATGGATAATCAGGAAGATAGAAGTTACATTAATAAAGGGGACTTCTCTACCCTCCCTTTCTACTAGCTCCAGAATCTACAGACTTTTCAATGGAAGAGGAGTACAGGATCACAAGTACTATAACTTCTGAAAAAATGACGTTTAAAGTCATTGTGAAAGTAATGGCTTATATAACAAGTAGTAGAGAGACAATTGATCGACCACTTGTAAAATATACTCAGAAAGAAAGAACAAAAAAGGTGAAGGAGGAGACACAGTGAGAAAAAGGTAGAGGAGGGAGGAAGAAAACTAGATTCCTTACCTGATACCAAATATCAAAATGAAAGGTTAAAAGATTTAAATATAAAGAAGAAATAAGAAAAGTATCAAAAAATACAGGCAGTAATTTTTAAAATACTGGAATAGAGAGAGACTATGGGAGAAACAATCAAAATGAAATACTAACAAACACGAACACATAGAATGTAGAAACTAGACTTTGCTCGCAACCAAGATAGATTAACAGTGACCAGATTTATATCCTAACTTAAAAAACTATAAGAATGGCAAAATATATAAAAGTATTCCTTCTATGACATTGAGTATCAGGCAAAAAATGACATTATCCTTTAGAGATGAGTAACAAGGTGAATTCTGAAACTGAGCCAAGTTGCTGAATGAAAACAGTTTCCAGCCCACAGCCTAGGAGGAAAAACCAAAGCAGAGTCTAGCAGGCCCAGAATTCAGGAGACAGAGCTGGAACTAGGGAGAAAAGGGCAGAGTGAGTTCACAGCACACAGCAACAAAGAAAAGGGCAATACACAGTGAAAGGAAAGAGATCTACAGAGGCATCCCTCAAATTTTCATCTGAGTGTACTCATTATTGAACATGTATATGAGGAAACTACCCTAGGAAGAAGGATGAAATTAACCCCAACGATTAGAGGGAATAATTCCCAGATTCTCGGAGGACCAGGAGTAGTACCAATTCCCACCAGCTAGACTGGAAAACCTCATAATTCACAGAACATTCAGTAGAGAAAGGTCTTGCCTCATTAAGGGGACAAATTTTTTCCCAGACTAAAGCTGCACTGGTCACACATAAAAAAATTATAAAACCAAGTCCTAAAATATCAAATTATTTCCCAGTAATTTAACTGTATTCCAGAACAAAAGTCAAAAATATGTACAATAGTATTACAATATCCACACTCAAGAAGGTAAAGTACTCAATGTCTGCTATTCAATCAAAAATTCAACCAAGCAATGTTCAGGAAGCTAAAGGAAAAGACTAAACATGGTAAGTACAGACATAATCAAACTTCTAGAAATAAAAAGTGCATCTGACATTAAAATAAACTGGGTGGAATTAACTACAGATTAGACATTTCACAAGAAATTACTAGTAAACACAAAAGCAAAGCATAAAGACTAGCCAAAACCCAACACAGACAGAAAAATATTTAAGAATGAAAAGACCATCAGCGTTCTGTGGCAAACTTCAAGTGGCCTAATATATGTACATATATTTGGAGTTCCATAATAAAAGAGGTCAAATGATAGAAAACATATCTGAAGAAATAAGGGCCCCAAAACCTCAAATTTCATGAAAATAAACTTACAAATTCAAGAAGCTCAATGAACTCCAAAAGAAAGTAACATGAAGAAAACTACACCAAGATATATCATCATCAAATTACTTAAAACAAGTGATAAAGAAAAAATGTTACAAACACCCAGAGGAAAAAGGACACATTAGGCACAGTAAAACAAAGAATATTCTCACAGAGAACAATACAATCTAGAGGATAGTGAAGAAACCTCTTTAAGGTACTCAAAGAAAACTAAAATGTCAACCTAGAATTTTGTATGAGGCAAAATATCTTTCAAAAATGAAGGTGAGCTGGGCACGGTAGCTCATGTGTGTAATCCCAACACGTTGGGAGGCCAAAGAAGGAGGATTCCTTGAGGCTAAGAGTTCAAAACCAGCCAAGGCAACATAGTGAGACCCTGTCTCTACAAAAAAAAATTTTTTTAAGTTGGCTAGGTGTGATGACACATGACTGTAGTCGCAGCTACTTGGGAGGCTGAGAGGTGGGAGGATCGCTTGAGCCCAGGAAGCTGAAGCTGCAGTGAACTGTGATGGTGCCACTGCACTCTACCCTGGGAGAGGAGCAAGAGGCTGTTTCTTTTAAAAAAAATGTTTAAGACTTTTTTAGACATTCAAAAGCTAAAAGCATTCAATCAACAGACTAGTAGTAAAATTATGTTAAAGTCTCTTTTAGGCAGGACGAAAATGATGTACATGTAAATACGAATCTACACACACAAAAAAAGGGCACTGGAGATAGTAAATAAGGAATTTAACACATAAAAGCGTTATTCTAATTATTTAAATGTTCTTAAGAAATAACTGTTTAAAGCAAAAATAATAGCAACTTGTTATGTTATATATAATAGATATATAAAAGTAAAATGTATGACAACACACTAAGGCTAAAAAGGAAGAAATGTAAGTATACTGTTGTAAGGTTCTTACATGATACATGAAACAGCATGATAGCACTTCAAGATAGACTGTGATAACCTAAATATCATACTTTAACCCCTAAAACAACCACTAACATAACAAAAAGCAATTATGCCCACAAAAGAAATAAACAAAAATTTTAAAATATAATTCAAAAGACAACAGAGAAGGAGGAAAAACAAAAAGGATGGAACAGAAAGAAAATATACAGCAAACCTCAAAGTATCATTAATTACAAAAATATAAATGATTTTTAACACTGCAATTAAAAGGCAGATTGTCAGATTCAATAAAAAACAGGAAGATACAACCATATGCTAACTACAAGAAATGTACTTTCTCTACAAAGACACAAATCAGTTAAAAATAAAAGGATGGAGAAACATGTATCATGCTAACACTAAACAAAATAAAGCTGGACTGACAATATTGAAGTCAGAAAAGTAGGCTTCAGAGTAGAGAATATTACCAAGAATATAAAGAAAAGTCATTTCAGAATGACAAATTCACCAAGAAGACAATACAATCCTAAACATTTGTATATCTAATAATAGGGCTTCAGAATGTATGAAGGAAAAATGATAGAACTACAAGGAGAAAGGTAAATCTACAATTAGTGTTGGAGATTTCAATAACCTTCTCTTACTAACTGATAGAACAAGAAAACAAAAAATAGGCAAGGTATTGAAGATTTAAACAATACTATCAACCAACTTAACATAGTTGACATTATACAAGACTCTAAACAACAGCTGCAGAAAACATTTTTTGCCAAGTTCCTACAGAATTTTTACCATGACAGACTATAATCTTGGCCATAAAAAAACTCAGTAAATGTGAACAATACAAAGTACTTCTGACTACAAGAGATGCAAACAAGCAAGTTACAAAAGAAGCCATATAGATAGGCAATAAATACTTGAAATAGTACTCAACATCACTAATCACTGAAATAAAAAAAAACATTCTGATACAATTTGTTCTTTTTAGATTGGCAAAGAATAAATAAATTGATAATGGACAGTGTTAACAAGTACAGAAGTAAAGCTATCCATGTGTTACTTGTGCGAATGCAAACATAAAAACTTCTGGAGACAATATATCACAAGTTTTAAATGTACATTCATTTTTTTAATTTTTTATTTATTTTACTTCAGGTGCATATTATATTTGGCATTTCTCCCCCCTGTTATCCCTCCCCACCTCCTGCTGTCCCTCCTCTACCCAACCAACTGTCCCCAGTGTGTGATGCTCCTCTCCCTGAGTCCATGTGTTCTCATTGTTCAACACCCACCTATGAGTGAGAACATGCGGTGTTTGGCTTTCTGTTCTTGTGTTAGTTTGCTGAGAATGATGGTTTCCAGATTCATCCAAGTCCCTACAAAGGACACGAACTCATCATTTTTTATGGCTG